ACTCTACCCAGGGGGACAGCTTGAGGCTCTGTCTCAAAAAAAAAAAAAAAAAGAAAAACTAGCTGGGTGTGGCAGTCCCAGTCACTCCTGAGACTAAGGTAAGAGGATTGCTTAAGTCTAAGAATTTGAGGTTGCTATGAGCTATGTAGGATACCATGGCTGTCTATGCAGGGCAACACCGTGAGATTGCCTCAGAAAAAATAAAAATAAAAATGTCTGGGTGTGGTGGCTCACTCTAGCACTTTGGGAGGTTGAGCCAAGATCTCCTGAGCACAGGAGTTCAAGGCCAGCCTGAGCAAAGTGAGACCCCTGTCTCTACTCAAAATAGAAAAAAAAAAAACAAACCAAGTGTCTTGGAGGCACCTGTAGTCCCAGTTACTTGGGAGGCTGAGGCAGAAGCAAACTCACTGAGGCTGAGGCAAACTCATTGAGTACATGGCAAGCCTCATTGAGTACATTGAGGCTGAGGCAAACTCATTGCTGAGGCTGAGGCAAACTCATTGAGTACATGAGTTTGAAGTTGCTGTGAACTATGATGCCAGAGACAATAAAGGGCTCAAACCCAACCACTGGGGAAGTAAGTGTAGCCTGGTTCACACAGAAGACTAGGAGTCAGCAAACCAGGCCATCTGCTCAAGAGGCTTGGTGGTCCGAATAAAGAGAAATGGGAGCAGAGCAGAATATATGTAGAAGCCCATGTGTTTGTAATTTTTTAAACACCTTTAAAATATGACCAAAGAGGAAATCATAATGGTTATTAGAGGATATCAAGACCCAAATAACAAAACATATTACTTGGCCTTTGGACTACTACAGGCCTGTATGGTACAATGAAGTGATGTTCTGATGGATGTTTATTGATTTGTGTTTAGATTAAGAGAGAATTTAGAGATGGGAAATATATGTAGGGAATTGGACAAATGAGACAAGACCATTGACTTCAGGACAATCAAAAGTTGTACAAGACAGGAAAATAACACTGTCATGTGGGTCAGCTTGGCCAGAATCTTCTAGTCATGATTCAAACACTAGACAACTGGACATTGACCTCTGCATATGTAATTTACATGGGCACAAGGATTTTTTTCTTTTGTTCATTGCTTTAACCCATCCTCTAAAACAGTGCCTAGAATATTAGGGGACAATATATAGCTATTGTTAAATGAATAAATCTAACCAAAATTATGGTGTATATAGCTCAGAAAGATGCAGGGACAGAAAATGTACATGTGTATGGTGGCTGGGGGTTAGAAGACTGAAATCCTTACGTTAACAATATGTAATACCTGAAACTGAATACTTTAAGAAGCATGTGGATATAGAAACATACTGTAAATACCCAAAGCAAAACAGAACAGTGAAAAGACTTTGAACTATCTCTGGGAAGAGGAACATGGGCAGACTGTTTTTTTAAAATAGCAGCCTTGGGAGGAGGTTAGGTTCATTTAGCTCCCACCTCTTGGGTACAATTGTAAGGCTATAGGGCATACTTCTTGGGTGAAGGATTCTACCACAACTTGGCCTTTGCCTTACAAAGTAGTCTGCTTCTATGTACCCTATGATAATCCAAAAAAATTTGAAAAAGCAACTTGGAACATAATTGTTTTAATCTATGGCCATGTACAGTGGATTGCTTGGCGATGCCCCTCCTCCCCACAAAGATATGATTATGTCGGCTCGGCACCTATAGCTCAACCGGCTAAGGCGCCAGCCACGTACACCTAAGGTGGCGGGTTCAAATCCCCAGCCC